AGTGGACAGAAATTTTTTGGAAACTTTCCCTGTGATATTTGTTTTAGAGCTAAGCAGACAAGAGACCCATTTCCTTCTAGTTTAAATAAAACTCATGTAATTTTTGAGATGATACATTGTGATCTGTGGGGTCCATATAACACCCCTTCTTCTTGTGGAGCTAGATATTTTTTACTATTGTTGATGATTATTCACGTGTTGTGTGGGTTTATCTGCTTATTGATAAAAGGGAAGTTTTCAAAATGTTTTTCTCATTTGTGGAGCGTAAGTTTTCTAAGAAAATTATGCGTGTGAGAAGTGATAACGGGACTGAGTTCAATTGTTTGCAAGAATTGTTCCGTACTAGTGGCATTATTTTTCAAACTTCTTGCGTTGGAACTCCTCAACAGAATGGGCGCGTAGAACGAAAGCACAGATACATTTTAAATATTGCACGTGCGTTAAGATTTCACGGAAATCTGCCTATTACTTTTTGGGGGAGAATGTGTATTGACTGCTTCTTATCTCATAAATCGGACACCATCTGTTATTCATGACTAAAACACTGTATGAATTATTATTTGGGGAACCTCCGTGCTATAACTCTCTTCGAGTCTTTGGGTGTTTGTGCTATGCTTTTAATATGAAGACCAAGGGAGACAAATTTGTTAGCCGTAGCAGAAAGTGTGTTTTTGTGGGATATGTTTTCGGGAAGAAAGGATGGAACGTTTTTTATCTTGAGACCCGAGAATATTTTGTGTCTCGGGATGTAAAATTTTTTGAACAAAGTTTCCCATTTGCCTCTACGCCATCTCTCCCGGAAAACCCACAAAATGCATCTTTGCCCGATATTCTACCCACAGATTATGATGATTATTTTCTTCTTGGCCGAAATGATGAACACCACGAGAGAACATCCTCAATCCAGGAGGATTCCACGACACCAGTGGGCCAGGAACAATCAGACAATATATTTACAGGCTCCGGGAAATCGGATACGTTGGAGGAGGTGTGCAACTCCTCTCAGGAGGAGACGGAACAAGTTTTGGGCCAAGGACAACGTACTCGTATTCCATCAGTTCGCCTCAATGATTTTGTTACACACCATCATTAAAAACAGTCCATTCCCTGCTTCTTCCGCTCCGTCGTCCTCTTCAGGTACGCCGTTTCCTATAACTCGTTATGTTGCTTGTGATTCTTTTTCCTCTTAACATAGAGCTTTCTTAGCAGCACTTAATTCGGTTACGGAGCCCGGTTCTTTCCACGAGGCTGTTAAACAGATGGCGTCAAGCCATGCGAGCCGAGATACAGGCTCTTGAAAATAATTCTACTTGGACTCTTGTTCCTTTGCCTCCTGGGAAACGTGCTTTAGGATGTCGATGGGTTTATAAAGTAAAGCACAAGTCTGATGGCACCATTGAACGCCTCAAAGCTCGTCTTGTTATATTCGGAAACCGACAGGTCGCATGTTTAGATTATACTGAGACTTTTGCTCCAGTTTCTAAAATGGTGACTGTCTGAGCATTTCTTGATGTTGCTGCTATTAAACATTGGGAGTTACATCAAATGGATGTACATAATGCCTTCTTGCATGGAGATTTAAATGAGGAAGTCTACATGACTATTCCTCCCGGTTTGCAAAATTGGTTGGCGCTCTCAAGACATACGGCTTTCTTCAGTCCTATGCTGATTATTCACTATTCACTTTTACTCGCAGAACTACTTAGATTAATGTCCTAGTTTATGTGGATGATTTACTCATCTCTGGTAATGATAGTGCCGCCATTTCTGGATTTAAATCTTATCTTAATACATGTTTTCATATGAAAGATTTGGACACTCTTAAATATTTTCTGGGAGTTGAGGTAGCGCACAGTTCTACAATCATTTTTCTTAACCAGCGAAAATATGCCCTAGACATTATTACCGAGACAGGTCTTCTGGGTGCAAAACCTGTCTCTTTTCCTATTGAGCAGAATCACACTCTTGGCGCAGCTTCTGGCCCCGCTCTCCAGGATCCATAACCATATCGCAGGCTCGTTGGACGACTGATTTACTTGGTTGTTACTCACCAGACATCACTTATTTCGTACACATTCTCTCTCAATTTATGCAAAAACCACTCACAGAACATTGAGCAGCTGCCCTACGTGTGGTTCAGTATCTCAAAGGTTCTCCAGGACAGGGAATTCTTTTACGGGCTGAGAGAGATTTATCTCTCACTGGTTGGTGTGATTCGGACTGGGCCGCCAGCCTTATTACCCGACGATCTCTTTTGGGGTGGTTGGTCTTTCTTGGTCACTCACCTATTTCTTGGAAAGCAAAGAAACAAACCACAGTTGCTCGCTCATCTACTGAAGCTGAATACCGTTCTATGGCTGCAGCAACCTGTGAATTAAAATGGCTCAAGGCCCTTCTTTTAAGTCTTGGGATTCATCATCCTCAGGCTATACCTTTATATTGTGACAGTCAGTCTGCCATTCACATTGCTCAAAATCCTGTCTTCCATGAGCGGACCAAACATATTGAGGTTGACTGTCACTTTGTTCGCGATGCTATTCAGGCAAATCTTATTGCTCCTAATTATGTTCCGAATACTATTCAATTGGCTGATATTTTTACCAAGGCCGTTGGGAAGACACAATTCCAAACTCTCCTAAGCAAGTTGGGCATTCTGGATCCTCATGTGTCAACTTAAGGGGGGTATTGGGAATATTTTAGGAATAATAATATTCTATTTAAGCTACATTTTTATCTCTTTTAATTCTTGTCGTATTTAGCCTATTTGTGTGATGACCGATCCGAATTGATCGGCATTCATCTTGTATTTATTTGGCCGATTGGCCTTGTTCAAGGACTAAGAAATTTTACCCTACAATACTCTTTCTTTATGCCTTACGTATCCAAAGTTAATAATATGACTACAATTAAGGGTGCACACAGTCACCGGTTCAAAGTTGAATCGGATTTGGTTCGAATCGAAATCCAATTCAGATTTGCAAAAAGTAGAAATCAGATATTTGACCGGATGTATTCGGGTTTTTATTGGAAGCCAGATTCGGACTGGTGCAATTTTCTAATTTGAATCATGTACTTTTAATTTCATGAAGGGATTGGATAACCTTTTATGATCTCACTTCAATGATTATATCTCTGTATATTCCAAATGATCATTGGTTAGCTACAACTTGTATGTGACCCTAATCTAAAGATTTATAAAAACTTGAATTATATTCTTGAAGCAATATTTAATGTTCGATGTGCTACCTAATTACTACTCCCTCAAGGTTACATTCTTCTTTATAGTTTGACTTTACGGTTTTTGTTTTTTGCAAGAAAAAGGCTTAACTTCCATTAATCAAATCATTGTCAAGAATACAAGATAAAAACGAAGGAAGATCATCAAACCAAGAACATGAATCAGACATAGAACAAGCACCCTTAGCAATAGAGTGGGCTAACTTGTTCGCTGACCGCCGAATAAAAAAGACTTTATGGTTTTTAAGAAAATAAATTTGACTTTACTCTAGAATACACCGTTTGACACTGTTTGGCACTGTTTTGTGTAGATTTGTTTGCCAAATAAAGTAAATAAGGAAGTGTAAAGATGATTCTGGGACGGCCCAAAAAGGAAAGTGTAAAGAAGAATGTGAACCGGAGGGAGTATGAACTTATGAATAGGGGTGGACTGGTTCCGGGGCGGGGCGGGTATCGGGCCTTTTTTTGGGGAAGTGAGGCCCGGAACCGGCCCAGGTAGCCAACGGACCCGGTCCGGCCCGGTCCGGGCCCGGGCCGGTTCAATGTTATTTTTTCTTTTGCTTTTCTAATTAACCCCCCACCCTCACCCCCCTCACCCCCCAAAACACCCAGCCCATCCCGGGAAAAACAAAAAAAAAACTTGATAAAACAAAAATAGGCCCGGACCGGCCGATTCCTATTTTAGCAAGTCCGAGCCCGCCTCAAGTAACCACCGGTTTGGGCCACCCAGACCGGTCCTATGATCAGGTACCGGCCGGGCCGGGTACGAACAGTACCGGTCCGGGCCACAGGCCTGTTGGCCCGGAACTGGTCCACCCCTAATTATGAAGCTGAATGCATACCCTCACTAAGGTCCGCTATTGGTGTCCATTTTATATTTGGGTCGTAGTAAAATAACTTTACAATTATCGCTTGGCAATGGGTCGGCCATTGACGCCCTATCTTTAGTTCTATACTCTTATGTTCGATGTGCTACCTAATTACTACTCCCTCCAGTTCACATTTTTCTTTACAGTTTGACTTTACGGTTTTTAAGGAAATAAATTTGACTTTACTGTAGAATACACTGTTTGGCACTGTTTGGACACTGTTTGGCACTGTTTTGTGTAGATTTGTTAGCCAAATAAGGTAAATAAGGAAGTGCAAGGATGATTTTGGGACGGCCCAAAAAGGAAAGTGTAAAGAAGAATGTGAACCAGAGGGAGTATGAACTTATGAATAGGGGTAGACTGGTTCCGGGCCGGGCCGGGTATCGGGCCTTATTTTAAGAAAGTGATGCCCGGAACCGGCCCAGGTTGCCAACAGTTCTGGTCCGATCCGGGCCCGGGCCGGTTCAATGTTATTTTTTTCTTTTGCTTTTCTAATTAACCCCCAACCCCCACCCTCACCCCCCTCACCCCCCCCCCCCAAACCCCCCAGCCCAACCCGGGAAAAACAAAAAATTGATAAGACAAAAATAGGCCCATACCGGTTGATTCCTATTTTAGCAAGTCCGAGCCCGCCTCAAGTAACCACCACTTCGGGCCACCCAGACCGGTCCTATGATCAGATTCAGGTACCGGCCGGGCCGGGTACAAACAGTACCGGTCCAGGCCATAGGCCTGTTGGCCCGGAACTGGTCCACCCCTAATTTGGAAGATGAATGCATACCCTCACTAAGGTCCGCTGTTGACCCCCCCCCCCCCCTCATATTACCCTATATATTTATCTAGTTTGCGTATTATTTCAAATTATGCACATCATCATCACTAAATAGCTATATATTAATGATGTGCACGATATAGTCTAGAAAATTAAATAAATTTCTCATTTGAATAAGCTTTTTATTTAGAAAAAAGCAAGTACACGCTTAGGTAATTCATCAAGCAAAACTTATAAGTTAGACTATGTTCTGCTTTCCATCCATAGTTTCCATGCAGCCCTAACTTCTTCCAATTGGCACTCTGGTATTTTTGTGTTTGCATCCAGTCTCTCAGCCCATTCCCTCCATGGAGACCCCAAAGGATCCAAAAATCCAGACAATTGGGGCAACATTGTGGAATGGTAAAATTCATTCACAGCTTTGACAATATCTTCAGACTCTAACAGTGTAATCAACTCAGCTCTTGCTTTGTTGCCTGGCACCGTTCTTGAAGCAAAGCCATTACCCTTCAAAATCAAAACTTCAGATGGAGCAAGGGGAAGGATGATCCGCGAGTGTTTGCAAAGAGATAATCTCAGAACATCACGGGGTAGCAACTTCCGCTTTATTGCAATTGCTGTTGCTACCATTTTCCTTATCTGAATAGACATGATGTAGTTAAAAAGCAATCAACAGTAAATTCCATATACAAAATGACAACAGTAAACTTACTAGCACGCTTAATGAAAACTAATATACTTACATACCTTCTTTCATATCATGACTTTTTGGTTAATGATATTGGTACCAAGAAGAAACCAAAAAGTCAGATAAAAAAAGTATTACAAAAATGAATTGCTTAAATACATCATTCATTTAATGTGCATTTTTAATTTTTTATCATTACAATAGTTAGGCCTTCTCGATGATACCACAGTACCAATATCATTTTAATTTTAAGGCTTTAAGTGAGAGAAATAATCTATGAGTTTCTTAAGCATTCAACAATATGATGCAAATTAATCTCTGGAGAGATGCAAATTCAAATATATTTGAAACCATCAACTCTGGATGGATTAGAAGAAATAATAGTTGTACTTCAAACTTGGGAAGTTCTCAAGTCCACGGAAAAACAATTGGAAATTATAAGTGTATACCATATCAACATTAAGTGTCAGGTTGGATTGGGGTTTTGGATGATTTGAAAGGGGAAGTTTTAGAGGGTCATATCCATATTTTGTATATATTTATGATAGATTTTAAAATAGAAGGAATAACAAAGTGTTAGATAATATAACATTTCAATTTCCCTTTAAAATTAATAGAAATTGCTCAAGATAGGACCAAAACATAACCAAAGTGCAAAAATGTGACTAAGTATATTTTATTCCCTAAATGGGACTTATTTAGTCCTAAATTGATTAAAACTTCCTAAAATAGGAATGAATGAGTCCTATTTTGGGCATAAAGTGTTAGGCATCAGCTTAATCAGTAGTTTGAAACTCTGTTCTAAAAATCGTTCTAGGCGCCCGACTAGTCCCCGCCTAGGCGCTAGGCGGTGGTCGGGCGCCCCGATTTCCGTCTAGGCACTCCGACTAATTGGTTTGCCGTCTTGGTAAATTAGTCGGCCGCCTATGGCGCCTAGTTGTCCGCCTAATCGGCCGCCTATGCCGTCTAGATTCGCTGAACATTACTTCACTTTTTAATTTTAATTTTCTATGCGATATATGTACCATAACTTTATCCATGGATATAAAGAAACGAAGTTGTAAATTAAGATAAAACTATATAATAAGAAGTGATCAGGTCCAGCCGGAGGGACGGGAGGCGCCGTCCGAACTCCGCCGTTTGGGGCGGTTCCCGGTGGAATTTTTTGATGAAATTTTTTGAGCATGTTCTTCATCAAGTCTAGTTTGTTCATACCAAATTTCAGCTCAAAATTCGACCGGGAAGGCATTCAAATCATTTTTTGAAGTTGACTACGCCAAAATATACATATAAAAATGCAGTCAACTTCAAAAAATGATATGAATGCTTTCCCGGTCGAATTTTGAGCTGAAATTTGGTATGGACAAACTAGACTTGATGAAGAACATGCTCAAAAAATTTCATCAAAAAATTCCACCGGGAACCGCCCAAAACGGCGGAGTTCGGACGGCGGCTGGACCGGGGAGAGCTGGACCTGATCTTTTTTGACTATATAATTTGTATATATACCTAAACTTTATCAGTATTTATATTTATAACATAATGAAGTTAAGTGATTAGTTATCATATACTACCTCCGTCCCAGGGACAAGTTCCCACTTCCTTTTTTTGGCAGTCACAACAAAAAGTTCCCATTTCCCTAAATGGAAAGTTATCCTACATCAAAACAGTGCCAAACAATGTCGAAACAGTGTCAAACAGTAAAATTTACCCCTCAGTAGCTTTATTTCTTTAATATGTGTCAAAGTCAACCCGGGAACTTCTCCCTGGGACGGAGGGAGTACTATGTATGATTAAATGTGATAATTCTATCATTCATGTTTATTAATGTATATGTATATATGTATTTTGTACACACAAAAACACAACATTACTTATCATATTTATGAAAAAATTTAGATAAAAATGCAATTTCTATATTTCCGACTAGTCCCCGACTAGGCGCCCGCCTAGCCGCCTAGGCGCTAGGCTGGCGCCCGACTAGCGTCTAACGTCTTTTAGAACATTGGTTTTAAATAAGGGGGTTAGGGGAGTTAAATAGCTTATTAAGTGCCTATAGCTTAATTAGTTGTCTATTTAGCCCTTGCGTGGACTTTTGCTATAAATAGAAGCTGGGGTAGCCATAATAGGCAGATTGTTATTTTGATTATCGGTTGCCTTGTTGCCCAAGTCCCGTTGCCTTTGTTGCCTACGATTTATCTCCTTCCATCAATAAACACTCTTTCCCTATCATTTATCAGATCTGTGCTTGTTAGTTTACTGTATTGCTCAGATCACTGCCAGGTACCTAACATTGGTATCAGAGCAATAGCTCCTGGTATATGAATCGATCGAGAATATTAACTACCTGGAGAGATGGAAGAATACTGTACACCAGAAATGGAGAGGAGGATAGATTCGCTGGAGAGGATCATTACTGACTTTAGAACGATGACTGAAAACATCGCAGGACAGTTTCAGAGCAACATTGCGGCTTCTATGGCAGCGATGAATGAACAGTTCCAGAGCAATCTAGCGGCTTCTATGGCCGCGATGACTGAGCAGATTCATAGCCTTCGTAATCGTTCCAGGGGGAGATTGCGATCACATCATCTTCGTCATTCTCGAGTTGATTCCCTCATTCCGTCGCAGAAGTCTTCACAGTCAACATCGTCGTTTATTTCTCCTAATTCACAGATGCGAATCACTTCTCTCAGTTCGCATCAAAGTGCTACGCGATTGACGGGAGAATCTTCAGCTTCGCACTCGCGATCCGTTTGTCCCAGTTCGCACTCGCAGATCGTCTGTCCAAGCTCGCAGGTGTCGTCTCTATCCAATCTGTCCAGTACTCAGGTGTTGAAGCAAGCAGAGCTTCCAACTTCGCAGAAGGTGTCACGGACAGCTTCCCTCAGTGCTCATCCAAGTGAGACGAGATGGACCGGAGGTTTCAATTCACAGACTTTATCATATACCAGCAGCTCACTTCAGGGTACAATGCGATCAGAAGGAGGAGCTTCCAGTCCGCCCTTGCTGCCTGAGTCGCAGGAGTCTGGCAATCCACGGAAACATCTCTCTGAGGATACGTTCATTGATGATGATGAAAGACGAGAGGAGAGATCTGATGGGGTGAATCAACTCTCGAGTGCCCTCGAATATGAGTCTGTTGAGGACAAAATTGGTGGTTCTGAATTGGAGAACCCAGTGGTTTCTGACTCAAAATTGCTGATGACAAAATTGCTGGTTCCTGAAACCCATGTAGATATTATGGGAGATCCGGTCACTACTGAGATTCCGGTGGACAGAACTCAAAGTGGTTCTGGCACGGATAGGAGAGGAAGTACAGAATTCATAATTGGCAGTGATGGCCATGTCAAATTGGATGAAAGGAGGAGACGGGTTCAAGAGTTCATTGAGGTGAATAGCCCTTATATGATATTACTTCGGAGTACAAGAGAGGGTGAATGGGGAATAGATCTCAGTATCCTGAAATCTGAAAAGCTTTTGGAGGATGGTGAGAATGCTTTAGGGAGCTGTGAGGAGGTGATAGAGAACATATTTTATCCTAAGATTCTTGAGAGAGTGCAGCAGTTTGTTTCTGAGAAAAGATTAAGCTATGTTCGTATTGATGGGCAGATTTCTATTCAATCATTCTATAACTCAAAGGAGGCTGCAGAAAGAGTTCATAAACAAGAGCAAAAGAATGTAGGCAACCTGTATATCCTTTGTGCAAAAGGAATCTTAACTCACATTGGACAAGTAGGGGAATCTCAAGCTACTTCATATACAGTTCCTATAACTGGAATTAATAATGAAGTAAGATATGCATACTTCCCAATTCGGGACAGCTCAAATTCTTTCTTTGCTTTATATGATGGACATGGTGAATTGGTTGGGAGTGGTGTGTTAGGTGTTGACATGCTAAGATTGCTAACTACAGTCCATGAAGCTTTAGATGGAACAGTGTTACCTTGGCAGTCCAGAGCTACTACTGCATAGGGGTGTAATCGAGCCGAGCCGAGCCCGAACTTTCATATGTTCGAACTCGAGCTCGAATTTTTTTTACATGCTCGAGCTCGGCTCGAGTTCGATCGAGCCCAAATATTGTAGCTCGAGTTCGACTCGAAAGCTTCTACTATAGATCGCAAGCTGCTCGAGATCGACTCGACAACCTAGGCAATCAATCACAGACCTTGCAATGTTCTGCTTATCTGATGCCTTAATAATGCATAGGAGAGTGAGTTGCTTTATAGATGGATTAGCAGGGTGACTTCTCCTCACTTTCCGGTGTGGGAAGCACAATCTTAGAAGTTTAAATTTAAATGGAGCAGTAGACTCGCATACTACAAAAAAGTTTGGAGGATGGGCTTCGAACTTGGGTTGCCAGCGTCAACCTCCAGCCTAGTAGTTTTCCAACTCATCTACACGCACGGATGTAGTAATTATAATCTCAATCGTTTTTTAACCTTGTTTTGTATGAGCTAATGAAAAATTAATACTTGCTCCGTATTATTATAGATTAAAATGATTACATATGGTTATAATAATAAATAATTTTATATTTAATTATTACTATTATAAATTATAATATCATACTACATAAGTATTAGACATAAAATAATCCTAAATTAGAATAAATATTTCAAATACACACACACATATACATACACATACACACGCACACACATATTAAGGCTCGCGAACCTGCTCGCGAGCCACGAGCCTAAAATAAACAGGCTTGATTCGAGCTAGTTAAGTATTCGAGTCGAGCCGAACTCGAGCCGAGCTGGAATATGCCGAACTCAAGTCGAGTTTTTACCGAGCGATTCGCGAGCAGCTTGGCTCATTTGCACCCCTATTACTGCATTTAGGAAGGCCTTGGGAATGGATGTGTGTGAACAAGGAGGGTGTACAAGTGGGTACAGTTGAGAAGAGTGCTGATAATGATGAGCCATGTGGGTTCTACAACCTTGGAGTTATGTACCTTCATGAGCTTGGGGTTAAAAGGGACTAGGAGCCAGCCAGCAAGTATTTTATTGGGGCAGCTAATGGGGATCAACAACAGGTTGTTTATCAATTAGCAATAACATTCCATAATCCGGAAGGGGCAGAAAATGTTGCGACCGATGCCAGCTCACTCTTAAAGCACACTTTACTTGAAGAGACCAGTAAAGGGCTGTGCCAAGGTAGATTTGCACCTGAAGTTCCTCAATATCCTACTCTGGAGGTTTATTTTGTTGCTGCAAGAGTTATGGGCTCTCCTATATGGGGAATGACCGAAAGAGAGAAGGAAATTGCCCAGATTCGGTGCCTTGGCCGTCAGATAATATGAAATCTGATGGCAGCAACCTTGAGAGTTGTGGAGCTGCAACAGGTTTGAGCGAGTGGATGCATATGTTTACGGATAATGACTATATCCTGGAGGCACTAAATGTGGATCATTTGACAAATTTTTATGTTTTTTATGTGACTTATGATATTGTCAGTATAAATCGAGGAGGTGTAGATGATCGGAAGGATGCAGGGATCAGGAGGTTTCCACCAGACTTGGGTCAAAATGAATTTCAAGCATTTATAGTTGCAAATGTAGGCGATTCTATATGTTTCCTATCTAGGAAGAAGCAGGCACTTGAGTTATCAAGAGATCACAAGCCTGCTCTGGAAGATGAATCTGAGGGAAAGGTGGAACACTGGCAACTATCTGCCCTAAGCACAGAGGGATTTATATTCCCTAGAAGCTTCAAGGTACACGGAGAGCTACAGATTCTGATTTTACTGAAGCCTGGGGCCACTCTTAATCTCATATCTCAGAAATTGATAGAGGTGGTGCAAATGGACTATAAAGCAGCAGTAATGTTTCAAGTCGAGATGGGGAAAGGAGAGCAAATATCACTCCAAAGCAGTTGTGAGGTAGTACAGACTTGGGTACACCATTTAGTTATGACCAAGGACTCCTATTGGTTAGATCTTGGAGAGATTAATGTGATTCTGGGAATGGGACCGATAGCCAATCATGGAAATGTAGAGAAAAATTTCAGGAAACACAACATAAAATGGTTAGGAGATGAGCCAGAGATGCAGTTGCTGGGAGATTTTAACCTTTGCAACATGGAAGGGCAGTATACGACAAAGTCATTGCCTCTATTCTTTCTTGCTATGCTCTTTCGGGCTATGAAAGGAGTGACCATGAAGGTTGGAATCAGGAAACTATGGGTTCAGAATTCTGTGAGGTATTGGGAAGGAAGAGGTGCAAGAATGAAGTGGAAGTGGAAGATCATGGCTGACTCCTATCACCCACCTTGAGGGCAAGGTGGTTGTTTGGGGGGGGGGGAGTAATGTTAGGCATCAGCCTAATCAGTAGTTTTAAATAAGGGGGTTAGGGGAGTTAAATAGCTTATTAAGTGCCTATATCTTAATTAGTTATCTATTTAGCCCCTACGTGGACTTTTGCTATAAATAGAAGCTGGGGTAGCCTAATAGGCAGACTGTTATTTTGATTATCGGTTGCCTTGTTGCCCAAGTCCCGTTGCCTTTGTTGCCAACGGTTTATCTCCTTCCATCAATAAACACTCTTTCCCTACCATTTATCAGATCTGTGCTTGTTTTAGTCTTATTTAGAGAATTTTCTTTTTAATCAATTGTATTTAATTATTTATCAACCCCTTCATTCATTTTTTATCAATTATATTTATCAAAACTATCCCTTCCATCAAACTGGCCCTAATAGAAGCCCACCCCCCAACATGGTAACACAAATTGAATTATGAGTTAAGACAACAATAACAACACTTGGAAATGGAGAATGAGATTAGGGACTAGGTGTAGTTAGAGAAAGAGTCAGCAATTCAGATATTAACCAACCAAAACTCTTAGAAAAAAACAATGCAAGTGAAGTATAACTCCTAAAAGAGAATATAAAGTCATAGCTTATGAGTTACCTGGTGTAACATGAATGATTCTCCACAGACAAAAATCTCCATATAGTTCATACCAAGAACCTGCTCCAAATTCCCACAATGACAATGAAATATCCTTCTGAAATGGGAAGAACTGAGTTTATCCTTCTCATCAGGTTCATAAAGCCATTTTGCACGGGTTGGTAATACAGGATTACATTCCTCTAGATTATCCATTTCACAATCCCGAGACCCTGGTGGAGTATCTTGAATCCTTTCCTGAGAGGTCCTCACACTGTTCTTTGCTGCATATAATTTGTTCCCATCAATGTCCTCGGATTCAGATAAACCCTCCTCCTCCTCTTCTTCTGCACATGTTTTTCCTATTTTATCCTTTGTTTTGTTTCTGGTAGGAAACTGTTTCCTGTACTTGGATCTCATTGTATAGTTGTGGAATGGATGTTCTCCCTGTAATTACACAACAATGAACAAGAATATGATGAACAAAAACTCTTACTTCACAGTTTACTCAGTGGATTCTTACATGGAAATTATGGAATATTATTAATTTTTAGAGAAGGAAGAAGAACTTCATAATGTATAAAAAGAAAATACCTCGAAGGTTTTTAGTATATTGTTAAAATCTGATAAGTGATAGTCAACTTCAGATGAATCTGAATCATTCTTTATCCCAATGATTTCAGCAGGGAGGAGGTAAGAATACCGCCTGACATTACACTCCTTTCTAGCATCAAATGTTCTGTAAGGAATATAAATTATAAATTTATAACTATTACTATTGTTAACACATGAGGAAATAAAACTGCAATGTGTATGAATGGACCACAATGTAAGAAGAAGATAGAGAAATTAGTTTAAAAACCCATAGAAACAAAAACTTGCACTTTTTAGCAACTCAACATACCTTGTTTCTTTTGGGTATGCTTGGGTGCTTGAAAATGCGAGAGAAATGGAAAAATATGCTATGCGATGTACAATTCTTATGTTTCAATTTACCGTGGAAAATGCAAAGGAAAATTAAATGCAAAGGGAAATTAAATGCTTCTACTTTATTTCAGATTTACATACATTTCCATTTTTTACACTTTAAATAGTGGATAAAGTACAAAAAATGAGTATGAAATAGCAAAATTAAAAAAAAATGCGTTTATAATTTTAGCCCACCTTTTGTTTTCTCCCTTGACTTTTCTCAATTTTTACCTTCCAATTATCAGTCCTAGTATTTCCTGTGATGCAGCATAATGAAGCTTTAAGTTATAAACAGTTGACTACAAATGCAAGTTTATGCTTTTTCAGTCATTCTTTGAAATCTTACTAAATTTGGTCAGTGAAAGCCCACACTTATACCTAATGATAATAAAGTACGATGTAGCTGCAATTATTGAACATTAGAAATTAAAACTTAGTGTTATATTTTGGTGCACACAAAAAGTAAGACTGCGTACATCCGACCCCCCCTTAGGCCCTTACCCCACCTAGGTGGGAGCCTTAGCGGCACTGGGGTAATGATGATGATGACAAACTATCTCCGTCCCCGAAACAACTTCCCGGTTTGACCTACACACATATTTAGGAAATAAACTTACAAGGGGGTAAATTAGGGACAATTAAATAAGGAAAGTGGGAAGTTGTTTCGCGGACGGAGGGAGTATTAAAAAAGTACTAAATTACTTCTAATAGGTAACATACAAAAAAATGTAATAAAATCTGACCTTTGTAATGGGAGGATGCTGAACACTCTGATGCTCTCTGGGAGATGAGAATCAACTATAGTTGCAAGACCCATGCCACTAGGGTCATTCTTCCATGCCGTCTCAGGGATTTCCATTTTCAAGGATATGATAGTAGACAAAGAATGCACCTAATGTGTTTTATGAATATATGAAATTAGCAATTATTTCAGAGAACTGGAAATTAATAGCCCAAAAAACTATCGAAGGTTTGGGGTTTAAAATGCAGCTTACTCCTTTATCAGTCCGGCTACTTCTTGCCCAGCCAATTTTGTACAAATTCCCAAAATTACTATCTTTAATACCGCCTGCCTTGAAAATAGCCTTTTCCAGTTCACCTTCAATGGCTGCATTGCGAAACTGTAATGCTTTAGAAAAATACCAAATTCACACCAATCCTGTTCAAGTATCATAATCATCACTTGGGAGATACAGAACTTAAATCCCCAATTTTAGTGAAGAACATAAATCCAATCTATTCCAAAAAAAAAAAAAATCCAATCTTAGTACAGGGCACTAACTGGTGTAAACCGAGTAATGAAGAAGGATGAATTCATACAACAATTAGAACTATACATTCAATGCTAAAAGGAAGATAGTAAAATTGCAGATGGGAAGAAGGATTCTTACTAGAGAACGCATGTTCATCCCTTTGCTTTTGAAGTCCTGCAGCAAAACTCAACATAAAACGCTGGGATTTTACTCAACTAAAATATACTCCGTCTGTCCCTTAAAACTTTACCAACTTTCCTTTTTTGGATGTCCCATTAACTTTGCCACTTTCCCTTTTAAGTAAAGAATTTATGGTTCCAGTTAATTCTTTCTACTCTGCACAAACCTCTACCACACAATTTTTACTTTTTTAATCCCCGTGCCGGTCAAACATGGCAAAGTTTTAAGGGACGGAGGTAGTAGGAAAAAGGTAAGCAAGTTAAACATTTTCTGGCTTAAGAGTACCTCGATAATCGGAGCCTATGTATCCGACCCGCATAACAACTTTCTTCTTTAAGAAGGGTTCCCATTTGGTGGCAGAGATGGGGATGCCCGGGTTAGACAGAGGCGGAGCTAACACTTCCGGTGAGGAACAAGGATCGAAATAAATTGGGACTGCCGAGGAGGAGGATGAAACGCAGAAACATAGAGAAAATGAGAAACGCTTGCGGGGGATTCTGAAGCGGAGAAGAGCTCGGGGGCGGAGAGCGAACGGATGGCGTACGGGAGGGACCGCCATAGCCGGGGACTCGACAGTGCACATAATTATTGCGGCGTAACTCACCCGTACATTCACGTTGCAGCTGGTTTTGTGATTCCTCACAAATTCACCATATTACATTTTTCTTTCAATTTGTTTTTTGGCAAAATTCTTTCAAATTTTATATTGATACTCCGTATTATTAGTATGAATGAAATTATTTAAAATGTGAACATTATATAAAAATATTCTTTACTAAGAAACAATTATAAAACTATAAAATTTATAAATTTCACAGAAATATAATAACTAAAATCATTATCAAGAAAAATCAATTTGATCGTCATGAAATGAATGGAATAATCAAGTAATTGTTAAATTTTCAAATTTTAAACGCCACGCCTCATATTTCTTTTTACTTCTTTCCCTTCTCCTTTATGCTTTATCATGACACTTTTTTGAAGCATGTTAGTAAGGAAAAAGTTAGGAAGTGTACACATGATTAATTATGAGAGGAAGGTAAACGTAAGTCCAAGGTATAATTCTACCTTGTTTTGAGAGGTGATAATACGGTGTTAATAAGTCTAAGGAAGTGTGCTTTTTGAACGATGGTTCAATTTTAAACGTATCAAGATAATTTGAATAATACTCCAATTTAAGAATTGTCAGTTGAGTACTAAATATGTTAGATCAAGCTACGTAATGAAAAAATATTGAGGAAAATATACGTATGGACGAATTGGGGGAACATGTCACAAGAGTCAATCAAACCCAATTAAAACACTTAAAATCTATTTATGGATCGAATGGAAAGTAATCTAGCTATAGCGTTAATCGTTTGAAGTTTGAACTTTGGCTGCAATGTATAAAAACCTGCCTACTTTGCAACCAAAAATAACTTCTACATGAAGACAAATAGACAATAAAATGGTGTAATCAAATCGTTGATTTCAGAACTCAAACATTTAATGATACATAATTTAGTGTGGATAAAATTGCATGTTCGAAATTGAAAATTAGGGTAGCTTATTTTGTTCTTACCATAATCGTTAGAACAAACATTGTAGATAGTTCAATTCACACAATGATATTTTGCAACCATACCACTAAAGCATAACAACGAATGATATTTTGCAGCCATACCACTAAAGCATAACAACGACTACACATGGATATGATCAAATGATACTAAAAGCTTCAAAACTAATAATCCAACGTAGACAAATCTAATAGACTTCACAACAATGGTTAAAGCAAAGCAAATAAATACAGATCATTGTGTGAGCACATTCTCCCGTGATACTCCTTGCAATTCTCCGTGATATTCCTTGCAAGCTCGATGTTCTTGGGCATTATGATCAATCATACACTCTCTTTGTCTCGTTAAGATCGTCACATCTTTATTATCGTTCCGTCCCACTAAGATTGTCAGTTGTAATATATCAAACTTGATAATGTTTGTATGATTCCAAATGATTCTTACTTTATCAATTGAATATTAATCAAACAAGTCCATTTTCTTAATAATCGCACCACCTTCTCATGTCCAATGTTAATGGGATAACACTAGTATACAATCTAGATGTTACTAAAAAATCATAATATCTAATACTACCTATCTACTTAATAACGCAAAAATAAATAAGTTAGTGTGATTTAAGAATCAATATTATAGTCAAATCTTTCCATTTTAACTCCCATTATTAGCTATAGGCTGAACCAAATTATTCGCGATGACTCCTTATTGTCATGTGTTACATTATACGTAGTAGTGTGAACTATGAATTGGAAAAAGAAGATATTAATAGGCCGGTTGCCCGGTTAGCACTATTTTATACGTAGTAAATCCAAAATGACCAGCTAAAACAATTTGTATTTTATACTATCGTATGTCTTTAGAGTGGAACTTTTTTTTTCTAGACATATTGCTTCTCAAATCCAACACTTAAATATTGAGAACAATCATTATTTTGCAACCTAAAGTAGGCTTTATTCAAATATATTGGCTGGCTGACTTACATACCCCTTTTTTATATTCGAATTGCTTCCTTCATCTACACTGCGGATTGAAAACTGGCTCGTGAGTGTGAATGCTCTTACCCACATCCACACCCACACCCACCTTATAATTGCATCCGATCACCTATATCCACTAATCATGGAATGTAAAACTTTGAAACTTATATGCCCACGTGGGCCTTAGAGTATATGGACTTCTCTCGGTCTCACACTATTCAGTTTGGACAAGGGTTCACATGCACTCAATACATATCGTTTATATGCTTCGTTTATTGTTAATACGGAGTACTTAGCAGACAAAACACCAATTCGTTTGGGCTCTGGCCGGTGAGCTAATAAATCAATTACAACGGTAATATTAGAATCTAAATCAATTGGGGGCTGTATATAGCAAAATGGTGTTTGTAAATAGAATTACCCAATATTCATTTGTATTTAGGGAAATTCTATTTGCAGCCCATATATGACTATTCACAGCCCCCAACGTAAGTAATTTTTTTAAATACCTATATTAGCCTTTGAATTAAATCAACCCCTCTTTCATCCAATCTTCTTGAATACGACATCAAGTGCAGATCTACAGTTAGGAACTTAGGAACAATTGTTTGCTCCAGTTTATACTCGTTACCTCTCGTTTGACTGAAACAATATATTTATCAACATAAACTTTCAAAAACAAAATGAAACGAAGCAAAGATGAGAAGAACGGTGGTAAGGGGAAATTAAATCACAAGAAATTACAGTAGAACGGTGGTGGAATGGAGGGAGACTTAAAATTGAAGTAAACTGCTTAACTGCTTTGTTAGGATGTTTTCTTTTGGACTGAAATTTGTTGGTCTGGTCTGGTCTGGTCTGTTTAAGTCTGGTCTGGTCTGGTCTGGTCTGTTTAAGTCTGGTCTGGTCTGGTCTGGTCTGAACTGGTCTGGTCTGGTTTGGTAAACGTCTGGTCTCTGTGTATTTTATAACTACGGAAGTCTGGTCTGGTCTGGTCTGGTCTGTTTAAGTCTGGTCTGGTCTGGTCTGGTCTGTTTAAGTCTGGTCTGGTCTGGTCTGGTCTGTTTAAGTCTGGTCTGGTCTGGTCTGGGACTGAAAACAGTCCAAAAGAAAACATCCTTAATTGTTATTGCTCCGCCATACAAAGACTCCTCTGAAGGGTTACTATGCTGAAAAATGCATAGGGCTTCTGCAAGTACCGGGGACAGAGCCCCACTCTCTATCTGTCATATTGTGATTATAGTCCAATTTACATCCTCCCATCGTGCCGTCCGGTCGGTGTTGGGGGGCCCTCAAGGATGGGGTGTCATCCTCCTCTGATATTACAGTCAAATCTAAGATGCGTGTGTGTAAAGCATTGGTCTTGCTTTATCTAAGATGCTATCAATACGTAAAGCACTTTTTTATTCCTACGCATTGAAACAAATGAGCTACACATAATGGTTATTGGTTATGCTATTTCCCAGGTTTTCTTTTAGAAGAATTAGCAACATGCATAGTTTGGAATGAGTTTCTGCTTCAATTAGATCTGGTCAATTGAGATGGTGAGAGGGTTATAGGAGAGCATTAGACGACAAAATAAGATGATGGTGGGACAACAACAGGGAAAGACGGCAATAAGATGATGGGGGAACGATAGGGGTATAAAAGACATTTTATTTATATGAGGGCTGTGTTTAGTAAAATAGAGGCTGTATTTAGAATTACCCTTGTATTTATTAGATTAAGTTTGTATATACTTGAGTCTATCGAGCTCATTTTAGCAGTCCGGCCCATGTTTTTCTGTATATACTCCATTTTGGAGCTTGTAAACCCTCCCTAACTTCACACATTCACACATTGAATACATTATTCATTTTCTTCATCTCTCCATTAGCTCAATCTCTCCGAAATAACATGTTTGAATTTCTATAATACATCAGATAGTTTATCAATATATCCGAAATATGTATAAAAAGTTTCAACCAATGTGATGTTATTTTCTGAATAATAATGATAATAAATGTTATGTAAAATGTTTTTTATTGAATTGATTACATTATTATATCACCATGATCAAATTAAATTAAACTTAAAGTCTTAAACCAAATCATATTGGACAAAAACATTAGCAGAATAAATAAACAATTGGCATTTATCATTCTATACGTATAATGTCAAGTAAAGTACCTTATGGTGTAATGACATCACTGTGACACTTCCAAATAGGGGGTCATAGATTCAAATCACATACCAATTCAAAAATGTTGGCCTTAAAAAACAGATACTACCCAGTATATAATACATACTCCCTCCGTCCCGCAATTAACTTCACACTTTGACTTCACACAGATTAAGAAAATAAATTTGACTTTACTGTGGAGTGCACTATTTTGCATTGTTTAAACACTGTTTGACACTGTTTGGACATTGTTTTGATGTAGAGAATTTGCCAAATAAGTAAAGTTTTGAAGTGTGAAGTTAATTTCGGGACTTCCCAAAAAGGAAAGTGAGAAGTTATTTACGGGACGGAGGGAACAAATAGTTTTTTTCGTTTGAGGAGTAATACGTACGGAGTAGTATACGAAGTATTAGGCTCTGTTTGCAAGTGATTGTGCTTAAATAAAAACACTTTTTGGGAAAAAGTGATTAGTAGTAAAAGTTGGTATTGTTTGGTAAAATAAGTGTTTTTTGTGTAATAGAAAAAGTAAAAAGTAGATTCTACACGAAAATCGAGAAAGTAAAAGTTGGTATTGTTTGGTAAATAAGTGTTTTTTTATTAAAAAAAAGCCAAAAGCACTTAAATTAATTGTTTGCAAACAAAGCCTTAGAAAGCTTTGTCAAAACAAAAAATACTAGTGCGTATCCTTTTTTTTATGGTATACTAGTGCGTATCCTAAATAAATCAAATCAGACCGATTTCGTTGAAATCGGATCACCAAAAAAAACATGTTAAGGGGTGTTTGGATTTGATTCTCAAAACTGATTCTGCTCCCTCAAAGAGCAGAAGCAGAAGCAGAAGCTGGAGTGTTTGCGTGAAATTCCAGAAACACTTTTGGAGATCTAATTTACTCTTAGAATCAGTTTTTTTAGAAGTTAGGGGTACCAGCTTCTGAAAACTGATTCTGATTCTGCTTTTAAAAAAGAAGCGGAA